TAATATTGGCAAGGGGAAAATGGAAAATCAATTTTTCAGGGTCTCCATTGCCCTAAACATGAAACCAAATAGAGTATACTGCCATTTAGCTTGTACAAGATTTTTTTTTGAGACAACGTCCAATTTTTTAAAAGTTGTTTGTGCTTAAAAGTAATGAACTTAAAAGGTGTTGAGCATTATAGCTCACATGTTTCATGTACCTTTAATTCCAGCACTCAAAAGGAATAGAATTTCTTGAGTTCACAGCTAGCCTGGTCTTCATACTGAGTTCAGGACAGCCAAATCTATGTAGAGACTATCTGTCATAAAACCAAAAGATTTGAAATTTCAAAACTTTAAAGATGTCCACAAACCTACAGGTTTCTTATGTGCTAAATTTGCTTTCTCATTTCAATCATAGGAAACTATGGTCCTGGAGGAAGTGGAGGAAGTGGGGGCTATGGTGGGAGGAGCCGATACTGAGCTTCTTCTTACCATGGGTAAGTAGTTTTTGAGTTTTACAATTATTATTATCTTGGGAGAATTAGCGGCAGGAGTTAAAGCATTTTAGGATCATGTTATCTTTCCTTAAAATCTGGTTAGATGGATAATTTCATAACCTATTTTTTTTTTTACTCTTTACTTCTGTTGAAACAGGCTTCACTGTATAAATAGGAGAGGATGAGAGCCCAGAGGTAACAGAACAGCTTCAGGTTATCGAAATAACAATGTTAAGGAAACTCTTATCTCAGTCATGCATAAATATGCAGTGATATGGCAGAAGACACCAGAGCAGATGCAGAGAGCCATTTTGTGAATGGATTGGATTATTTAATAACATTACCTTACTGTGGAGGAAGGATTGTAAAAAATGCCTTTGAGACAGTTTCTTAGCTTTTTAATTGTTGTTTCTTTCTAGTGGTCTTTGTAAGAGTGTAGAAGCATTCCTTCTTTGATAATGTTAAATTTGTAAGTTTCAGGTGACATGTGAAACCTTTTTTAAGATTTTTCTCAAAAGTTTTGAAAAGCTATTAGCCAGGATCATGGTGTAATAAGACATAACGTTTTTCCTTTTAAAAATTTAAGTGCGTGTGTAGAGTTAAGAAGCTGTTGTACATTTATGATTTAATAAAATAATTCTAAAGGAAATTGTGTAATTATAGACTTTTTATTTTAAATAAGTTAAGGAGTGGGTAGTATAATTAAGGTCCTTTGCAAAGCTGTTGTTGTATTTGTGTAAGATAAATGCTGGTCAGATTTAAGTGTGTTGTCTGCAATTCATCAGGATTAAAATATCTAGTTAACTTAAGGGATATCTCTGCAAGGAGAAACACCTTTTTAGATCTTTTAGATGCTGCTTCTTCAATGCAAGGAAAGGAAATAACCCCAGCGAGGTACTCTTCAGGGACACAGGTCTAGTACAAGAGAACTCTTGACGACTAAGCTCAGCCAGTCTTAAAAAACTGTGCTGTATCTACAAAGCTTAACCTACAGTAGTTGATAAGGATGCCAACGAAAGCTGAGGGTGTAGAGCAAAGTAGTTCTAAGCATCAGTTAAACTTCTTTAGGTAAGATCTTATTTACTTTTTCTTTCTTAATTTTCCTCCCTAAAAGATAAACTAATAAACTTCTTCAATGGTCTTTCAGTATAGTGGTTCTTATGTAGTTTAACATAGCTATAAATTGAGTTTAACAAATAATAAACTCAAGATAATTTTATAAACCCTGTTTTCCAATCTGTCATTTACTTAAAATATTTTGGTTGTTGTTTCCTTTTTTTCCTTCTTTCTCACCCCCTCCCTTTCCATGAAGATTCAGGTGCTTAACATATCATTTTTTTCCCTGCTGGAATTTTAGCATTGATATGAACCATGGACAAGTATATTCTGCTGCCACAAAGACTGTAAAGTGCTTCATTTCAACAGCTGAGGCAAGCCAAGTGATCATTAATAAAGCTTTTCTTGCTTCCTTCAGTGGTGTTGGTAGTAAAATGGTAGGTAAAAGTTAGGCTGCAAGTTCAATAAATGAGATTTACCTATCATTCCACCCTCGTGTATTTATTCACCTGTCCTGGATCAAGCAGTTTTGAGTCAACTAGGCATTTAAAGGCATTGTGTATTACTTTATGGTTCTAATTTTACATGCTTAATCAGGATGAAGCTGACAGGAGGTTAAGGATAGTGTCTTTACTACATTAGAAATTTCTGTGCAACAACAACAAAATTTTTTTGTGTACTCTTTGTACTAAATAATTGGGTTAAGATTAAAATTTTGCCCATTGTCCTACCCTAAACTGCTGTAGGTTGGCTATTGTAATTAGTTTCTTAAATCTATCCTGATTTCTAGGCTTTATTGCCTTAACCAGAAATGTGGTATTTAGGGCTTATACACATCAGTGAGTCTGCTTTAATCCTAAAACCACCACTGAAGTTATTTAGGTTCTTTGGACAAACATGATAAACTTCTTCAGATACTTTTTTTTTCCTTTGGCAGGAAGGTGTCTTGCTGCAGGTAACTAATGAAGAAGTGGTCAACCACAGAGTCTTCAAGAAATAAGAAATTCTGTACCATCTGAAAGTAGTTCTTGTTGGTGCCTTCATTTAAGAAGCACTTTTAAGATAAAAGGGAATGTTCTCTGATTAAAAACTTCATTTAGTACAGGTTCTTGATAAGATTCAAAATGCAATGAGTGCTGTTTGTATAGAGTAACATCAAATTAGCTAAGGATAATGTATTATGTTTTAAAATAGGATTTGTGAGTAGACAGATGAAAGGTCTATTTTGAGTACAAGTTTTATAAAATAAATACTTTTGTATCCAAATAATGCGGTGTAATGCTTACACACAAGTGTGAATCTTGTTCTATCGACACCAGTTGTCTACAAGATTGCCATCCCCTTAAATTTTATTAGTTTGTACAAAACTACATTTACAGTTCCCATTCAATATTAATAGAAAAATGAGAAAAGCAATAATGGACATTATTTGCTGTCCCTAATAGCCTTTATTATGAATTGTGCGTTGCTTCAGTTTCCCTATATTGAACATTGATGGTGGCATTTGAAACCATGGGTTATAACCAGATAGTGTTTGTTAATTAGTATGTGCAAAGGAACAAGAGAGTTCTGCCAAGTAGGAGATCTCATTAACATGTCTCCATGAATAGCAAATGGTGAAACTCAGTCTTGTGGTTAAAACTTAATGGGGTCTTAGTGAGTTATTAGCTATAGTAAGCACCTTATATATATATATATATATATATATATATATATATATATATATATAATATAACATGGTTTTGATGAGACCGTATACAGGTAAGTCAGTGGCTAATTAGTGAGTTCGTTCTTAAACCTTGTGAACTAGTGTGTTTATGAACATTCTTTCCAAATACTTGGTTTCCAACTAGTAGGATGGATATCTCCAGAGAGGTTAAAGTTGGACTTGAAAGTAAAATTTGTATTACACAGTTTAAGAAAACTTATGAGCATCATAAAAGGAAAATTTTGATGGTGACTCATGGACAGTATGGGAATGAGTTTAGTTCATGAAACATCTGCGGCTTTTAAAAAAACTAGTAGGAAAAAGATGATTGTTTGTACAATCTGAGTGTTGTGCTTTTGGATACTCTGGAGCTGGATGAAGTACCTTGTCTTAGCTGTGCCACTGGGAACTGAATTTGAGTTCCTATGGAACAGCTCTTAAAACAATTATGATAAAGTTTTAAAAATTATTATGAAGTAAACAAGTCTTTTAAACAGTCTCCACTCTGACCACCAAAGATCCCCAGGCTCTGGCAAACGACCTTCATCCGCTGAATGCTTTTCACTTAATAAAAGTTTCATAAAACTTTACACAAATAGTAAACAATCTTGGGTGTGTTATCCTGGTGTTTGGTTTATGCACACGTGGCTGCCATAGATTGACCCAGAGTATTACAAGTTACCACTAAGTACGAAGGTGCAAACACTTGAATTACCCTCTAAGGCAGGAGTTCTAATTTGTATCCATAGGCTTCAGAAAAGTATGGAATTTGGGGAGTAGTGAAAGTCCTATGCCACCTTCACTTTCTTTGTATTGGGGACAGTTGGGTAAATTTGGAGGTCAAGGATGTCACTTTTTTTAAAGAGGGAAGATCCCCAAATGACCTTGTAAGCATAAGGATAACTTAGACGGTTTTTATCTGGTCATAGTAGGTTGTCTTTAGGAACACATCGTGGAAAATTTAATAAGATGTGTTCAAATAAGTTTAAATAGGTAATGAGCATTGAGTGTGTAACATGTGTGCAGCCCTTGAGAGCAATGATCATCAAGAACTGCATGTGGAGAATCCAGCTAGGTCTTCAGAAGAGCAGCTAGTGAACACCTTTTGAAACCTCCATTTCTACTTTGACTGGTGCTGTTGCTATATTTTTACTTTGTACTTATGCTGGGAGAGGATCTTTATTCTAGCACTTTTCGTGTCCTTGATAAATTGTGCATCCACATCTCATTTAGTGATGGACTTACATCAAAGCCTCCTAATCTTTGGGAAAGGAGTTTGTTGACTCATTGCAGTGGATGACCACTGAGCAAATAAATCTATTCCTTAGAACTGGGATATGCCAGCCAGTACAATGTTAAGTCTTAACTAAATTTGGTGACAGGTAATACTTTTATGTTGTAATCTGAATGAAGGTCATTACTCTGGGCATCTGAATTTTGACATGGTTAAGCTTAATATCTGAAAGTTTAGAATACTTTAGGTTGTGAACTAAAGTATTAGTTCTACTAATACTAGATAATACAATAATTAGTTGTAGGCTAGTACTACTGACCTGTGTTTCTCAAGGGCTTTTTACATTTATATATCTAAGGGGCTATGGCTACATTCTCAAAAACTGGGATACTTTGCTTTGAAGCTTAAAGGAATTTGCCATATTGGCTGGATTTTCTTTGAAGGACAAATAAGACATTGACTTGTTAAAATAGTTTTTATAAATTCAAATATAAAATGTTTTCACATACTTTGACATGTTAAATAGTAAATACCTTCAGATAGCTAAAGGCTACTCACGTTATGTAAGCATCTTAAAGCTTTTTCAAGTGACCACCTTAATAAAAGGCTGTAAAAGATTATGTGAGCATAGGTATTAGTGCAGAACTGGTCCATGAAAATGTGGATTCTCCCAACTTCACAGAAGCATAACCTTGAATTTTCAGTATTTATCAATACAAACTTCAACTTGTACTCTTAACTGAATGATTCAAGTAACAGTGCTTTTAAGAATAGTTTGAACAGTTTGTGATGCTGTTCAGTTTTTCCTCTTTCCCTTTGGGGCTTCCTTTTTGTGTCCTGATGTGACTAGTTCTTTAGGTACAATCAAAACAGTTCCGTCATTGTTGTACTGAAGTGCATAGTGGTTTGGATTGACTGGCCTTCCTTGGTCATCTATTAACCTACTAAAAACATCATGGTAGAGGTCTTGCAGTTTCTGTTTCATTATGTCAATAGCTTTGTTACATTGATCTTGCTCATTCTTCAGGGCTTCTTTCTGTGTTTGCAAGTTACATATATCATCTTCTAGATTCAAAATGATGTCTAGTTTACGTTTACGACAGTTTTGAGCAGCAACTTTGTTTTTTCCTCTTCGTCTGATGTCACGAATGAGAGAAACTTGTAAGTCTGATAGGTAGTGCCTACTTAGCATACTGTTGAAAGAGTCAACAGGCATGCGGACAATTTCATCTACTGAAAAGGGAATATGCAGAGCTTTAGCACGCTGTTCATCACGACTCAAATTTCTATCTGAGTCAAGGCACCCACTGATTTTCCGAGACTTGGTCTGTGTTAAAGCTTCAGATGTGGGCTCTAGTACACCTGGTTGTAAGTGGTAAGTGTGATCATGAAATATTTGCTGACATTCAAGATCCTGGTAAAAGCCAGACATAGTCCTAATATCCATATGACAGTGTTTAAGGGGTTCTGCGCAGCAGCCTCCTACAGCACCTAAATCTTGACTAAGAGACTCAAGGTCAGTACTGTTACCTACAGCACCATCATACATACAGTGAGAATTAGACTTGGTGATAGTTGAATTTAAGGAGATTCCGGAATCAGAGTCTGGATCTTCAAAAAGTTGAGAAACTTCCAGTGGATTGAAACCTGTGGCCAATGACATTAGGTTTATTCCATCAAAGATACTTGAATCAGTGTCATACAGGAGATCTTGACTTGTTAGATTCCTCATTTGGTTGTCAACAGTTGGGAGAGACATTGCAGGAATGGCTTGCTCAGAATTGGTGTGAGAAGTTAGCTGAAGAAATGGTTCTTGTGCCTGTGAAATCCTTGCTGCTGGATCTCTTCTAAATGTGTTGGGGTACAGTAGCATGGCTTCATGAAGATTGACGTCATGGCTTATGGCATGGCTCAAATTTATATGATGCGCTGAGGAATTTGCACACTCATTGATACTGCTTAAAAAGGGTGGAATGTCTTCCAGTGAGATGCCCTGAAGAATAACAACAATAAAGGAGCTCCATTATCTAATATCACATTTCTTTTTACCAATTTTCTATGTCCTAATGGATATATTATTGACTATGAACAATTTAAAATGAGGTATAATGTAACATGTGGTCTCAAGTCAGAATATGGTGGTTTACCTGGGGGGCAAAAGGTCTAGATTATCATTAGGCCTTGTAATTTGCAGCTATCAATGCTTTTGTAGCCAAAATCTATATTGTGAAGGTTCAAGGATAAGTTTATGAGCAGTCTGGCAAGTAGAGACTCAAATGCTACCAGGAAAATAAAGTTAACTAGCATGAAAGGTCTAAATCTGGCAAAATGGCATATGTTTAAATTCTACTAACTGGTTTTTTCTATGAAAAGCCTTTAAACTTTATAATGTACTTGGGCAAATTGCTGTATCATCCAAGTAGGAGTGTTCTTTAATTCATACAGGTTTGTCAAGATTCCTTTTACCTCCAGGGACTGTTCAGGCTGTGATGAAAGCAGTTGAAATAAATCCTCCAGAAAGAAAGATGTATCCGACCAGTGTAGGTGATTCTGTATATAAACAAAATGTATACCATCAGAAAAAAGACATATTAGTTATACGCCGCCTTTTCTATTCCCTTCCTCCTTTTTGAGAGGAGCTCAAAAAGGCTGGTCTGGAACTCATGGCAACCCTCCTGCCACAGTCTTTTGGGGTACTGAAATTAGTGTCCCATAGTCCTGGCTGGCCTAGAACTTGCTATGTAGCCAGGCAGGCCTTGAACTGAGATCCATCTGTCTTTGCCTCCTGAGTGCTGGGATTAAAGAATTAAAGATAGTCTATGACACCCAAGTTATACAGTTTTTAGACATTAGGTTTCATAGGACTTGGCCATTTGTTCCTGTTACATAAAGCCAGGCATAGTAGTGCTTTCCTGTAATCTTACCGCTTGGGAGGAGAGGCAGAAGGATTGTAATTTTAAGGCCATTCACAGGTTACAAATAGCAATGTCCTGTCTCAGTTAAACTACAGAAATAGGAATTGTTGAGTGGCAATGTAGCTCAATCAGTTAAGTGCTTATTTAGCATACTGGAGTAGATTCCCTGCACCACATAAATGACATGGTAGTACAGGCCTGTAATCCCAGTATGTGGGGCGTATAATCAGGAGGATCAGAAAGTCAAGGTTGCTGGGCAGTGGTGGTTCATGCCTTTAATCCTGTCACTGAGGAGGCAGAGGTAGGACCTCTGAATTCTAGGATATCCAGGACTACACAGAGAAACACTGTCTTTAAAAAAGATGGTTATCTGGGCTGGAGAGATGGCTCAGAGGTTAAGAGCACTGACTGCTCTTCCAGAGGTCTTGAGTTCAAATCCCAGCAACCACATGGTGGCTCACAACCATCTGTAATGAGATCTGGTGCCCTCTTCTGGCCTGCAGGCATACATGGAGGCTGAACACAGTGTACATAATAAATAAATCTAAAAAAAAAATGGTTATCTTTGGCTACATAGCAAGTTTGAGGTTGAGCCTGAGCTACCTGAGGCCCTGTCTAGAGGTGAGGAAAAATTGCAAATTTCTTAGTTCCGAGGTGGTTTAGTGTCTGGGATATGTATATATTCTTTTTTTTTGTTTATTATATAAAATACGTAGTTTTTACATTTTCCCCACCCCCTTTAGTTAAAAATTTTAAATAGTTGAGCTATTTCTAGAAATACTAAAAGTATACTTGCTGATCATTTTATGTTGCTAGTAAATGTGAAGCGGGACCTTTTCCCCTCCCCCTTTGGGTTTATTTGTGTAATTCAGGCTGCTCTGGTACTCATTCTGTAGTCCAGCAGGCTGGCCTCAAATTTAGAGATCTGATTGCATCTGACTCCCAAGTGCTGGGATGATCAAAGGTGTGTGCTATCACCATGCCCTGACTGTGAAGCTAGCCTTTTAAAATTCCATTTTAAGATCTCATTTTAGATTGACAATTCAAAAAACGTTGGAGAGGAGACATTTAATGGAATTTTTTTTTTGGTTTTTTGTTTTTGTTTTGTTTTTTTGTTTGTTTTTCGAGACAGTTTCTCTGTAGCTTCGGAGCCCGTCCTGGAACTAGCTCTTGTAGACCAGGCTGGCCTCAAACTCCGAGATCCTCCTGCCTCTGCCTCCTGAGTGCTGGGATTAAAGGCGTGTGCCACCACCGCCCGGCTTAATGGAGCTATTTTAACACATGAAGTATGTCAAGCTTTATTTTTCATGAGAATTGATGGTCTTTAGATCATTTAATGACACATACTACCTGCCTACACTCTGAGCCCAGGACACATTTTCCTAGTGCTACTTGGTGTTTTTCCAGGCTTTCTACTCAAGAATATGACTCACTGGTCTGATACTTCTTTTGTTTCCTGCTATGAAATACATCAAAACTGCAGACATTACTGGAGAAATGGCTTAGCTGCAAGCAGTACTGGATGCTATTGCAAAGGACTCAGGTTCAATTCCCAGCCCGTATATGGTGACCTGTAAACTCCAGTTCCAGGGCATCTTGGTGTCCTTTTATGGCCTCCATAGGCACCGAACATGTACATGGTACAGAAACATACAGGCAGGCAAAACATCCAAACACTTTTTTTTTTTGTAAAGTATGAGCTATTCTGAGAAATACTGGTACTGTGGAGGCTAAGGAGGATCACAAGCTCACAAGTTTGAGACTAGCTTAGGCAACACAGTATCTCAAAGTAGAACAAAGGTGTAATTCTAGTACACAGTGACTCAGGTCAGGGACATGAGCCTGGTAAGGAATGGCAGGACATGATAGCACATGCATACAATCCCAACATCTGGGAGGTGGGGTAGGGTCAGAGATTTAAGGTGAATTTTGGCCAGTTTGGGCTACATCAGACCAAGAAAGTACCCTGCTTTGGGTGTTGAATGTGTCTGCAAAATTTGGTCCAAACTGCTGTTTGTCTTACATATATCTTCCTATTTTATCTCAGTATCTAATATGTCTTCCATGTCTAACAGTGATTTAGTTAATATAAGCAATTCAAAGAAAATTTTTCTGGGAAAACTAATAAAAGCTAAAAAAAAAAATGCCAACATGTGAGGGGAAATAGTAACCAATAGCATGAGGCATGTTTAGTGAAAGAACAGAAACAGGTAAGTGAACTTAAGCATCTCTGTTTTGAGATGGGGTCTTGCCATTGCCCTGGCTGGCCTTGAGCTTTTAGCCATGCCTCAGCATCCCAAGTAACTGGAATTATAGGCCTGTATATACCATGGCTTCTCAAGCTTTAGAGTGAAACTTCAAACCAATGTGGTTGAACCTGGAGAGGTTAGTGAGCAAAGGTAGAGAGTGTTCTTCCCCTCAAAATGTGGGCAAAAGAGGTGCTAATGTTCCCTAGCAATGAGCAGGTGCCCGGAACCATCTGTTAGATGGCCATTATGTGGTTTAGAAGACCACCTAGAAAGGGAAGGACAGTCTACTGAACATTTAGAAATCTTAAGAAGGACCATCTGGGGGTAAAGGCTAAGTGCTCTAGCTTTGCGGGTATGGGTTCTCAAAGAACAAAAATGAAATGCCTAAAAATATGGAACCATTGCCTAAAATATCTAACAGTTTTCTCTGTATCCCACCAGTAAGTGAAAACACTACTTGATAGAACCAGGCAAATAATGCCTTTCTTAAGCTGTTATTACCCTTTGTCCAGGGAGAACAATCTGGTCCACTTGAGGGTGATTTGTTAACCTAAAATGCAGCGGATGAGAAGGAAGCAGGGGTATTTAATTTTATTAACTTCTACACTACCATGACCTCAGAGGGTTTGGTTTCTATTCCCGGCAGTGCTGCTAGAGAAATTCTACCACTGGCCTGTATTCTCTGCCCAACCAGAGGGATTTCTTAATCTGAATCTCTAGAAGCCATGGCCCTGGCCTAGGTTTGAGCCATGGTATAAGAACAATGAATTCCTATAACTAGAACAGGCTGGAAGAGAGGCAAGAGTAGTGGGAGGGGAAGAGAACAAACCTGATAACAAGAACTGCAAAGAGACCGATTGACTAGGGATGCAGCACCATGGAGATATTGCAATGTCGCAGGGTCATTACGTTATCCTGGGCTAGTTCCAGCCCTCTAGAACAGCCATTCTTAGCCCCCCCCCCCTTTTTTTTCTCGAGACAGGGTTTCTCTGTGGCTTTGGATCCTGTCCTGGAACTAGCTCTTGTAGACCAGGTTGGCCTCGAACTCACAGAGATCCTCCTGCCTCTGCCTCCCAAGTGCAGGGATTAAAGGCGGGCGCCACCATTGCCCAGCCCAGTACAGCCATTCTTGCCATGTGTCAGAACTAACATTTTGTGGCTAACAGATAAAACCTGTGATTATTTACTAGCAGCCTACTTGTTTCCACCAACCCAAAAGCTCTGAAGCATCAGAAGCATCTTGGTGGACCTTTAGAAAAGCTGCTCCCATTTCACTGCACTTGCCTCCCTGATGTACCAGTCAGTGTAGCTAGGTCTGTCTATATTTAAAAACTTCCATGAGACATATGGAATTTAGAGTAACTTAAGTCTGTGTTCTTGGCACTCTCCATCCTCTGAGGGTTTTCAAGACTGAGCGACAGATTCCACCTCCCAGAGAAGGCAGATGCTGAAGTTGCTCATAGTGAAGGCAACCACTAGGGCAAGGATGCTCTGCAGACCTCTAGGTCATCTCTGGAGCACCTATGTGCCAAACTGGTGGCTAAAACCATCCAGATCTAAGTCAAAACCAGAATATGGTACATGTGAAACTAGGGGAAGCTCTGCCTATAGAAAGAACCCATTCTTCAACCTGGTTCTTGGAGCTCACCCTGTTCAGCCAAGAGAAGTACAGAAAGATGCCCCCCAGGAGCCTGGACCTGGCCCCTTGGGTGAGGCCAGGGTACGAAAAGGGCTATTGGGTACCAGTGATTTGGCTGAATCCACTGGCAGACTGAAAGCTTGGGTTTGAGCTTTAGTGGAAATTCAAAGAAATGTTTGTAAGGTTGGTCCTTTGTTTGATCTTCCAGACCTGGCAATCTAGCCTGATGTGAGCTATTTTGTTTTGCTTTTCGAGACAAGGTTTCTCTGTGTAGCCTTGGCTGTCCTGGAACTCACTCTATAGACAAGACTGGCCTTGAACTATAAGAGATCTGCTTGCCTCTGCCTCTGAAGTGCTGGGATTAAAGGTGTGTGCCCACCACTGCCCGACTGTCAGCTGTCTTTCTTTCCTTGTCTTGGCAAACACAAAATAAAAAAAAAAAATTGCTAGTCAGTTCTATCTTTAACCAGAGAAAATGAGTTTATAGGCTAATTACTTTGTAAGTACAACTAACACATATACACACACTTACTTTTAAATGTTATTTTTGTATGCCAGATTTGCTAAAGACAGTGCATACACAGAATTCATTACCAACAAAGTCTTCATGAAAGGCTAACGACAAGCCTGGAAGCTTCTGCCACACTTACCTCATTTCTGGACCCTGTGATTGTCCCTCCTTCCCAGACAGGTGCATCTGTTGTTCTGCTTTCATCTTTCCTACCCAGCTGTAGTGATTTTGCGTGGGCTGACACTCCTTCCTTATCTTCCTCATGCTGGGAACTGTGATCCACAGCTTCACTCTTTTCTTTTAGTATATCATTCTCCTGTAAAACAAACAAACAAAAAAAACCTAAATTCTACTAAGCAGAAAACCATTGCCAACAAATAGAAAAACTGTTCAAAAGTCACACTGTCAGCAGCTGAGGCTGGTACTTTGTATGTCCCTATCAGAGAAGCGTCTAATCCCGAGACGATGGTCAGTCTTATGCCCTGCCCTCCTTATGTACCCTTCAGACAGTCCAATCTACACAGCCTAAATTGTGTATATTTATAGAGCCGCTCAGTTGAAACCATTAACAGTGTGCTAAGTTTGGAAATCAATGTTCTCAGCAGGGAGTTTTTATTTAGTTCTCAGCTGAAAACAGATCAAAGGCATAAGTTGGAAGCAGATACTTATCAAATGTATATATATGTAGAAAAATCCGGGAACTTTTAAAATTAAGTACTGTCTTCTGTTTGAAAGGCAGATGGGGTGAGGACAGGTTAGGAAAGGGTACAATTCGCTTTATAGACCAAATGTGTACTTTTACAATCAGAAAAACTCTTATTATTGGCTTAGATATTTCAACTTCACTTACTTATCCAGAACACTCCTTCCCGCTTTGAATTTATTTCATTTCAGAAAGTTTTTAAATGGTGAGGGGACTCTTCAAAGCCAGTCAAATGTTACAGTGGCGCAGGCACTATTTACTGACACTTGCTCTGTATCACTCTGCTTTATTCCCTCACTGAACCTGGAACCAGGCTAGCAGTCATTAATCCCCAGAATTCCCTCTGCCTCTGTTCCCCTACAGCACTGGGGTTATAGGCGCCCAATGGCTGTGCTCAAATTCCTACATGGGAATTAGAATTCAGGTATTCATGTTTGCAGGACATGAATGTTTGCAGTACTCTCACTGAGTTGTCTCCCCGGCTCACCTTATTTTTTACTTATTTTATTTCCATCCATCCATCCATTCATTGGAGACAAGGGTCTCTTCTCTACATAGCCCTGACTATCCTGAAACTCACTAAGTACAAAATGCTGGCCTTGAACTCACAGGGATTCACCTGCTTCTACTTCCCTGGTGCTGGGATAAAGGTGTGAGTCACCAAGTCCAGCATAAAACAGCAGTTTCTTAGAGGCAGGGACTCAATCCATATGCCTTGTATCTACCCCAGAGTCTGTTACTTATTGCCCTTTAGCAAATATCCATGGGTGTCAAATCTTAGGCACAACATCCTTAGACTTCAGCAGGAATCCTTCTAGATTGTTCCTTCCTTCAATCAGAGTGCTGACTTCTCTAAATTGGGAAGGAAGGCGAGAGGACAGGGTTACTGATCATCATTTTCATTCCACTGCCCGTCTTTTGTCCAGACGAGGCTTCTTTCGCTAGCCCTAAATACTGAATTCTCAGCAAAGCGGATTTTGTTTATAAAACTGCTGTGGTTGAACAGAACTTCTAGAAGCTGCAGTGTATGAGGTAATTCAATACACAAGAACACCCACACATATGCAAATGAAGGCCATGCCTGTGATGTCATGCACAGCACATACAGGCTACATCAAACCCATAAACGAACTGATCAGATGAACAGAAGTCTGGGAAGACTGTGTGTGGGGGGAAGGGGGGTGTCAGAGTGTGACATCAGGACCGGTGACAAATGTGTGTAAGACGTTCTGGAAAACTCAGGGAAGAACTTAAGTTACAGAAATTCTGTATGATCAGAATATTACTGTAAGAGGCCACAGTTGGTTAAAAGTCGGGGCTAGAGAGATGGCTTCACAGTTAAAAGCACTGACTGTATACTCCCAGGGGACTGGGGTTCCACTTTAACATCCATGGCGGGGAGGGGGCTCACAATCATCTGTAACTCCCAGAGAACCCAACACCCTCTTCTGGGTGTAGGAGCCCTCTAGGGCTCTACACGAACCTGCATAACTATTCTACATACACCTTTAATCCCAGCACTTGGGAGACTTGGGCCAGCCTCCCATGAGTTCGAGACCAAATGTGGTCTACATAACAAGCTTCAGGCTAACCAAGGCTGCATAGTGATATCCTGTATAACCTCTAGCCCTACCCCCCCAAAAGTGGGAGGTGGGGACCCTATCATGTGAGGGTGGGTCCCAACTCGTTGAATAAGGAGCTAAACAAAAGGACACATTCACTAGAGTGTAAAATATAAAGTCAAATGGGAAAATCTAAAATCTGGATAAAGGACATTATTCAATATTATTGCTTAAGTTTTTTGAGATTTTTATTTCATGTGTATTTGTGTTTCATCTGCACATATGTCTGTGCATGTGTGTGTTCAATGCCCAGAAGAGGGCAATGGATACCATGGAATTGGTTGTGAGCCACCATGTGGGTGCAAAAAGCAGAAACTGAGCCCAGGTCCTCTGGGAGAGTAGCCTGTGCTCTTAACCGCCATGCCAGCTCTACCACCATCTCACCACACCACTCCTTCTTCTGAGACAGGGTCTCACTATGCATATGTCTGCCTGGCCCAGAACTTGCTATGGCAATCAGGTTGGCCCTGGAACTCACAGAGATCCACATGACTTTGCCTCCTGAGTGCTGGGATTTAAAGGAACACACCATCACACCCAGCTCTTGCATTTTTTTAAAGTTTGAAATTATATTTCTTTTCATTACTTGCATTTATATTATATTTTGGGGTAAAGAATTACCCTAAGTTTAGCTGGGTGGTAGTGGTGCACATCTTTAATCCCAGCTCTTGGGAGGCAGAGGCAGAGGTGAATCTCTGAGTTCAATGCCAGCCTGGTCTATAAAATAAGTTCCAGGACAGCCAGGGCTACACAAAGAAACCCTGTCTCGAAAAAAAAGGGAAAAAAAAAAAGGATTACCCTAAATTACCTTTGGCAAAGGACTGGCCCAGCAGAACTCCTCTTTCATGACAGTGTCCTGGAATCTGAGAGCGTTCCAGGAGGTGACAGGCCCTCTGCAGTGATGCTTCAAGGTGATTAGGGCTGAATGTGCCCACAGGAAGTACTAATGGGTTGGTGGCCTTCAATATTTTTTTAGGGTAGAAGCCAAATGGCATTTGTGAAGAGGAAATGGGGGTGACAACTCACACTTACACCAGTGGACAGGCTATCCTTCCGGGATTCGGTTATGGGGGTGACAACTCACACTTACACCAGTGGACAGGCTATCCTTCTGGGATTCAGTTATGGGGGTGACAACTCACACACCAGTGGACAGGCTATCCTTCCGGGATTCAGTTATGGAAGGAATGGAGACATGGATCAAGACAGTACCTTTTGTTCTGAAGACAGAGATGCTAGGACAGAGGCAGGAGAATTGCTGCAAATTCTTGGCCAGCCTGGAGTACACACCGAGACCCACTATCAAAACCATCACCAGCAAAATGCAGAAACAAAACAAACCCTGTAACAAAACAAAAGGGGCCGGAGAGGGTCCTCAGCTGTTAGGAGCACTTGCTGCTCTTACAGAGAACCCAGGTCTGATTTCCAGCACCCAACAGCAGCTCACAACCATCTGTAACTCCAGTTCTAGGGGATCTGATACCCTTTTTTTTGCCAGCCTTCAAGGGCACCAGGCACACACATGGTGCACATACATACATGTGTACATACAGGCAAAAACATATATGTAAATTAAAAAATAAAGCCAATCTTTCTAAAAGAGCTCAAGAAAAAAAAAACCCTAAACCACCTGCATAAATAAATAAAACTCACTGATCTTACTATGTAGTATAAGCGAGACTTGAACTCATGATCCTTTTGCCTTTAGGTTCCAAGTGCTGGGAAATAAGTGTGTGCCACAACACCCAGGAACTCTGTAAGATCTGGAAGCAGACAGAAACGTCTTGATTGCTGTCCACCAGGGCTAGGGGTGATGCTTCCTCTCACATCACGGTAGGAGTTGAAATAGGCATTCTCTCCCAGGATCCTGGTGTATTCGCTAGTGGCAGCCTGTTCGAAAGCTACCAGGAACAGGGATCCTAAGACCTGACAAAGAGAGGAGGGAACGCCCTAGGTCAGCGGGACACAAGGAAGGACCAGTGATGGCCGCTGGAGACCTGAGGCACCCCGCGGAGAGTTGGTTGTCTCTCCTTTCTTTATGGTCAGGCCATGCCTTCCCAGGCACTCTTCATCCTATGACTGAAGAGGTACAAATGGGAAGAGGCAAGGCCATGATGGCCCAGTGTGGAGCAGTTTGATGACCCTGCTCCTTGTGTCCCTTTCCCTCCTGTGCATTAAACTTGGTCTCAGGGTCTGCTTGCCAGACAACCCCACTCGGGGTAGCTAGCGATGCTGCCTCTGGGCCTGCGGGGAGGAGGCAGACGTGGGGAGAGGATTCACCATGACAGTGTCCATATTTACAGGGTTAAGAGAGCCTGCTGCTCCCGTGATATAATTTGTACGGCTTGCAAAGCCCAAAGTGGCCTAGTACTGGGCAGCTTGGCTACAAGCTAACCGAAAGGATCTAGCCGGTTCCAGCAGTTGTGTAAGCTTGGATAACGTGCTAAACACTCTGACCCTCAGTTTTCCTAACTCTAAAATGATGGGATATTATGGAACTAGAATTTTAAATAGTTGAGGAAGCGCCCCTTCATACACTTCAAGACACATGTATCACCCCCCACACACACAGCTTCTGAGCCGGAAGCCTTGCTTATCTTGTTGACAGCTGCCAACACCCCAACTGGTATTCCAAGAGAAAGTGATGCCAGCCCCTCAGATGACCTCTGACCTCCCTGGCTTCTTTCAACTTGCTGGCTTGCAACTGAGGCACAGGGATGTCTTCTGTATGTCAGAGTCTTCGGCCCATGCTCTTAAGGCACAGGCAAGTTAAATCTGTCCCTAAGTCACTTTTATTTGTGTGTGTAGGTGAGATGTGCCCTAGTGGGCTGAAACCGCACTAAAACAATAAAAAAAAGAAAGGTCCTGAAAAGAAAGGTCCCATGTGTGTGCCAGGGGGAACACTTCCTGTGATTTTCAGAGCTGGTACTTGAGGGTTGCCCCACCATATCCCATTCTTCTTCTGGGCAAGGAACCCCCAGAACCTCAACT